ATGTGAACCTAGTGCTCTGATACCATGTTGTCACGATCCAAAATCCATTAAAGGTCGTGATGGCGCCGGACACCGCTGTCAGGCAAGCCGACAATAAATAATTACTTTGGCTCTCATTTTAATATTTCTGAAATTATAGTTTTCCTCCAATTAAACTAGTAATAGATGAACTTTACAGAATAAATAATAATGTTTTCCAATTTTAATACTGAATATCTCATAATCATCCAAGAACCCGGTGTTACAAGTGCATGAGCATTTATTAAGAAATAAAATAAAATACAGCAACTGTCCGGAATACAAATTTGGACAGGAAAGAAAATTTAAATACTCTAAAGGAGACTCTGCTGGCTGCGGGTCGTAATATGAAATGCTGCCCACCTAAGTTCCTATGTCAACCATGCCGCTACGCCCACTAGGCCACCAGCAATACATGTGCCTGTATAACAAAATGTACAGCAAGTGTAGTATGAGTACGAAAACAACGCGTACCCAGTAAGTATCCAGTCTAATCTCGAAGAAGTAGTGATGAGAGGTCGACTCCGACACTTACTATGGCCAACAATACATACCGATAATATGATTAATCATGGATTTTATAAGACGGTTGTAAACTCAATAACATGAAGCAAGTAAACGATTCTTTTGTTAATAGGAGATTTCCAAATTTATTTTCATCTTTTAACAATCTATATCTCCGGCCAATGAGGCCACAGCAATTATCAATAATTCCAAAATAATCAATAAAGTCATGTGCAAATCATGCCGAGGTCGTGCCGCCCGATCCAACATAATATTCAAATTGTGCACTGTAGAGGGTCGAACGGCGCGAATCATAGATGCATCTATTTAATCTGCCAAGGCGTTCGACCTGCTCCACAAAAGGAAAACACAATCAAACAGTCAATCAAGAATTCATCAAGGAGAAATTATTCAAGGAAATGGCAATCCTCTTTTAACGGTTAAGAAAATGAAGTTTAACCTTTTAGAAATTCATTTACCAAGTTCGATATGATTTAAGCAATTTAAATTGACAATAAGGTTACAAACATCGCAAGTATAGCATGCTTTTGGGTCCTAGACTACCCGGGCTTAAGCATAATAGTAGCTACACATGGGCTCTCGTCACCTAGTGCGTACGTAGCCCCCACAAATAGAAGCACATATTGAGTTATTTTACCTATGGGGTTAATTCCCTCTTACAAGGTTAGAAAGGAGACTTACCTCGCTCCGAAGTCACTCAAGCAACTCAAATCAATGCCCAACGCTCACTAGTCAATAAATGAGCAAATCCACAAATATATACTCAAATACTCATTATAATCCTATTTACAACAATTTCCAACTCCATTCGGAAAGTCGATAAAAATCCCCCTCAGGACCACGTGCCCGGATTCCGAAAATTTTTAAAAATAAACTTTACCCATAACCTCACGCACTCAAATATATAATTTATTTCCAACTCCATGCTCAAATTCGTGATCAAAATTCAAAAATATCAATTTCTAGATTTTTCTTCAAAATCCCAAATTTCTACCAATTTTCATGCTTGAATCCATAATAAAACTATGTCTTTAACTCGCAAGAGATGGGATTAACTTACCTTGACAGAGATGATGAAAAAACCCCACTTGAAGCCCTCCAAAAATCGCCCAACCAAGAGAGAATGGGAAAAATTGGCCAAATCCCCGTTTTTAAAGAAACCTGACTGCCCAGCGCCACTTCCGCACCTGCGGAACAATAATCGCACCTACAGCTTCATAGGTGCGAGACCCCCTCCCACTTCTGCGCCTTCTTCCGCTTCTTCACTCAACCTCTTCACTTCTGCGCTTGCGCAGATGCGGCCAACACTCCGCACCTGCGGTCCTTCCCCTAACTGCCCAGCTCCACTTCTGCGACTCCTAGGCCGCTTCTACGGCTCCGCACCTGCGGCCAAAACCTCGCAGGTGTGGTTACACCAGATATCAGCTGCCTCAATTCTTCTTCAAATTCCAAATTCGATCCGTTAATCACCCAAAATCCATCCAAGTCCCCCGGGACCCCATCCAATTATACCAACATGTTCCAAAATATAACGCGGACCTGCTCGAGACCTTATATCACATCAAACAACGTCGAAATCATGAATCGCACCCCAATTCAAGCTTTATGAACTTTAGAACTTCGAACTTCTTCGTTCGATGCCGAAACCTATCAAATCATGTCCGATTGACCTCAAATTTTGCACACAAGTCACATTTAACATTACAGACCTACTGCAACTTCCGGAATCGAAATCCGACCTCGATATCAATAAGTCCACTTCCGGTCAAACTCCTCAAAAACCTTCAAATTTCTATCTTTCGCCAAATGACCCCGAAATGACCTACGGACCTCCAAATCCACATCCGGGCGTGCTCCCAATACCAGAATCACCATACGGAGCTATTCTCTGGGTCGGAATCCCAAACGAACATCGATAACATTGCAATGCACTTCAACCCAAATTTATAAAATTCTTCTAAAATGCTAACTTCCACAATAGGCGCCGAAACGCTCCCGGGTCATCCAAAACCTGATCCGGACATACGTCCAAGTCCAAAATCATCATACAAACCTGTTGGAACCTTCAAATCCCGATTCCTATGTCGTTTACTCAAAATCCAACCTTAGTCAATTCTTCCAACTTAAGGCTTCCGAAATGAGAATTTTCTTTCCAAATCTACTCTGAACTTCCGAAATTCTGATTCCGACCACGCGTACAAGTCATAATACCCGAAGTGAAGCTGCTCATGGCCTAAAACCGCCGAACGACGCGCTAGAGTTCAAAACAACCGGTCGGGTCGTTACATTTTGCTATAATTGATGCACTAAGAATGATATGTTTATCAGATATTTTCTAATGTAAGAAGTCAGGAATAATATTTTTTTTCGGATCCCATTTATGGATTTATATTGAGTATATTATTATTGTTGTCGGAGAAAGCCAGAAACAATCACGAAAAGTGACATGAAGAGAAATGAGTCACATTCACTTAAGGAAGAAACTAATCATTCACTTTACATAGAAAAGAGAATTTATACTCCTTATGTAGTATGAACGAGGACAGGTTTTGTTAACTAATTGCTTTCGTTGATCCCCTACTACTTTATTATAATATCGAATTTCATACTTTGTTACTAGTTTTATAGTGTAATTTGTGATCTCATTTGTATTGCTAAAGCTTGCATGCCTAGATGTTCCTTCCGTACAATTTTTCTTCCCTACTTTTCTCTTTAATCTCGTTGTATATTTGTTGGCTCCTTGTGTCTGTTTGCTTTATTTATTGGCGAACATGAATACTATCAAGAATCAAGAGAAAAATCAGCAAAAATTTAGGGTTCATTTGGTTTGTGATATTGAAATAATAATCCCGCATAAGATAATATACGATGTGTAGTTGACCGCATAAGAAAAATTAATCGTGCATAAGTACGAACTAATGAGTATTTGGTTGTCGATATTAAATAATACCCAGTATTAAATTATGCGTAAATTTATATATTATTTTGTGCGTGATAGAAGATGAAACAAATAATACATGTATTAGAATTGTGATGATTAACTATTTAAAAAATAAAAAAGATGCCCTTTTAAAGTATGTAATCAATGTATAGCAATTTCTTCATTACTAATCATCGCATAACAAACTCCTTAGAGTTTCTACAGAGAGAAAGTAGAGAGGAGATGGAAAGAATTTCTAATCTTTCTTTTTGGCATACTGAAGAGTACTTTGGGGATCATAAGAAAATATAAGGGAAAACAAAATAAAATACGACCAAACCAAGGGTTTGTAAGCTGAAAAGTTTGGTAAATTTTACAAATGGTCATATAACTATGACTCTTTTTTATAAAAGTTATATATCTTTGTTTTCTCACACAAATTAAAATCATAATATTATCACTAACTCATACAATTTTCTTATTCCGGGTTCTTTTATTTTATTTTCAATGTAATAAATAATTACCTAATTAAATAGTGAAAATATTTATTTTAACCACTCTAAAAAAATAGGCGATAAAATATATCTATATATTTTTTGGTTAGCGAATGCAATTAGGCTGACTGATCAATTTTATATTTTTCCCCTAAAAATAGGATTGACCCGGCAAAACCTGTCCCAACCATTTATATAAATTAAAATAATACTATAAGTGAATTCTTCCCTCACAAAAAACTTAGTTTGAAATGCATGAGATTCTGACACTAAAAAAAAGGTATAATTAGAGAGCACTTAAAAGAAAATTCAACCTATTTGTATGAATATCTTGAAAAGAAAAATAAAAGATAGAGATATCGTATTTTGAAGGATTCACTTTTAGTATTATTTTAATTTATATATATGGTTATTGGTCGGGGGGTCAGGTTGAGTTGGATCATTAATTTTTGTGTGAGAAAACATAGTTATATAACTTTAGTAAAAAAAAGTTATAATTATATGATCATTGTGAAGTTTACCCCTGGAAAGTCATATAAGGGTCCTAACTTAAAAACTTTTGGCCCTGTTACTTATAAGCTTATAAGCTTTTTTTGTGTTTAGCAACTAACAACATAAGCCAAAAAGTACTTTTTATTACTTTTAGCCCGCATCAGAAACTATTTAAATTTGATAGCAGAAAAAATGTATAAAATTTGTACAATTTTTGTATATAACTACATATTGTATATATATATATAAAAAAATATACAATTTTATATATTTTATTTGTATTATTTTACAGTGTCATTTTTCCAAAGTTAGTTTATTGGGTCAGCTTTTAAACTTAAGCAAACACCCTCGAATTCCTCTGTTGAAAGTAGAAGTTAAACTCTTCAAGACATGATAGCCATGTGTTATAAACAAAAATTATCCGTAAATTTTTGCAAAACCATCATCACTATCTAAGAGTTGTGATTACTATAAAATATGCTTACTCCAATATTTATTCTCCATTCCCACAAGAGAAAGGAAGTTCAAGAAGTGATAAAGTTGCAAAGAGATTGAGAGAGAACTCGGGGCTCTGAAAACGAATTTCATTCTGGTGTTTTTGAGTTTTTACCATCGTGCTAAACCAATGGCATTTACACTTCCAAGAATATTCACCTCCTCCACAACTACTGACATAATATTACAAAACTTACTTTCCACAAATATATAATGATAGCACTAATTTTGCTATGGAATGGTACACGATAGCCCGACAAGAATACAGTAACAAGAATTTAATCGAAAAACTATCTAGTCACCGTGGCATGAAAGCCTCTACAATGGAATACAACCAGCATCCGCGCACACGCTAAGCAAGGGCATAAGTAAGTGTCTCAACCTCCTTTGGTCGCCACATTGTTTTCTGGACGCACAACAATCCTTCCTTGTCCTTTGAATAGGTCATACGGATTTCATAATGCATAGACTTGAACATGCTTTCTAATTCGGTTACAGCTTCCACTTTGTCACGGACAATGAGCTTCCCTTCTGGTCTCAAAATACGGTCAACTTCTGCAACTATTGCCGGTAAACCACACCTACAAGTTTTGAAAGTCGAAGCACAATCAGATAACATAACATAGGAGAAATAGGGAATCAATAGTGTTGCTTTAAGTCGAAGCAATTTTAAAGGTTGGATACTTACTTTGTTTTCATCTTGGAGAAGAGATGGTCAGCATGAAGAAGATCGTAAGATCTGGGATAAGTGCTGAAGGATTCACACCAGTCGTGGTAAATTCCAAATAGACCTCTCTCATAAATAATCGGTAGTGTATCTGGAGCATCTACTGAGACAATGTTCATAACCCACACATTCAAGTCTCTTAAAGCAGCTGCAAATCTGAAAGGTGACAAAAACTTTAACATCACATGCCATTGAAGAGAATGAAAAGATGTTTTAGAAAGTCGCAACAAATATAATCTTTTCTGAGAGAAGACAGAACTTGTTAAGAAATCTGAGAAAAGAATTGCTGCTTTTGCAATGAAAACGATGTTTATTTCAATAACAGGTGAGAATATTTGTACGACCAAACCTCATTACAGAAGTTTGTGTTTATTACTCATTTCTTCATAAACTAAAAACATTTGGTGTTTGACTGAAAAAAGAATTTTGGAAAAACAATGCCACCTAGTTCTGTAAAGTCCATTTAGCTCATAGAACCATGGCCAGCAACAAGCTTCAAACAAAACTCTTCTGCCAGAATAGGCAGAGCAACAGATAGAAGATCTATAGGTAGGAAGAAAATAACATAACACTCGGTACTTACCCTCCGTAGATAGCACGCATGTCCATTACATTCCGCACAGTTGACCAGTTTATTCCCATTCCATTAAGATATGAATTCTTCACCACATGTTTCCAGTGTTCATAATCTGCAGTAAAATCTTCTGGAGCAGGTTTCCCATATACTCCAACCTGGGAACTCAATAACCAGTAAGGTGATTTTGATAACCTGGCTGGCCATGATTCTGGCCATTGAGATCCACGTTCTGATGTGGCTACTGGAGCTTTATGCAAGCAAGCCTGTAAAGGCACGTTCCTGAAGAAAGCATGCATTCATTAGATCTTGTTTAAGGACATAGTTGACAATACTAATTGACAATAATACTAAAAAAGAAGTTGCTATCTCTGAGAACATTACCAGGCTGCATTTGGATCATCAGATCCTTGACAAAGCGGGGGAGCATCCTCTGATCTTTGTTCATAGCACTCATTGTCCATAGGCTTGCGATATACAGCGACCCCTACTCCATTAACTCTATCCTTCGTTTTTGAAATAAGTTCCCAGCACATTGCCTTTGTCAACTGCTTCATGGCTGTCAAAATGAGCACCATTCAGCAAGAGCAGTTAACCAAGTTGTCAAAGAGCAAAAATTGAACAAGTTAAAGCAAAGTACCTTCCCAAATCTCAACATCTTCAGGAAGCTTTTGGTAAACAGGAGTAGCAGACCACACAAAAAGTCCACCAGGTCGAAGTAAACGGTTGAGCTCCAGGAGAAGCTTCCCCCCTACAATTTGTTAGATGGAAATGGTTTAATCCAAATCAAGTTTCACAATTTCATCATAGCTGTAAGAAGAAATAATCAAGACAACATGATTGGTGATGAAGAAATATTTTCAGTTCACAAACCAAGAACTCTTATGTTCTTCTCTACTGAATAGAAGAATTTTGCACTTTACACTTCATTAATTGGAGCAGTGAAAAAAATATCAGGAGTAGGCAAAATGCAAAATAAAATACCTTCAATATGCCAGGGCACTCTGCAACGTGCACAATGAACAACGTCAAAGACTCGACTAGGAAACGGAAGCCTCTTTGTACCCATGACAGCGGATATTGCAGGAATACCCCTCTCAAGAGCAAACTGAACCTGAGCTTCATGTTCATCTTTCGGAGCGAGAGACATGGTTAAAACATCTCGATCAAAAAGATAACCCCCAAAGCTGGCAACCCCACATCCAACATCTAATACAACCCGAGTTCGTTTGCCCCAGGCAATATCTGGAATAGACTGCAACAATAACATAAAGTTTTGTGTGAGAAAAATAATAGAAGAGATATATAGATTACTCGACCATTTGATGGATGCAAGACACACTTTTTTACAAGTATCAAATACACATGATATTTGACAATGTGGGACAATATCCAACTTATGAACTTAACATTCTAATATTCATATTTGACGTGGGATAATATCCAACTTAAGAAATTACCAGTCTAATATTCTAACTCTCGCACTCTAATACTAACACTAAACATTCTAACAGCTAAAGAATCAAACGCCATGCAAGAATATTAGAGAACTTTATAATTTTGCTGACACACCAAGAGTGTTACACATTGAGGTTAACAAGGGTGAAGAAAAATCACTAAAAGCCTCTTTAAGGTTTTATGTTTAAAAAAATGAAGAGAGTACTTAGAATAATAAGTGAAATGTTCTATTTCCATTCACATACTTGGAATACAAGCAACATGTTCCTTTTTCATTCACACCGTGTGATCTCTCTCATTACTGTTTAGAAGCACTTTAAACTGTTTGAGAACCTCAAAATGGATGATGTATGGTTGGTCTAAAACAACCCCAAGGGAAGATATAAAGATCACCATTATGTCCTAATTAGGTGATCTACTCGACAACTACAAGTAGTTATCAGATGCAAACAGTATTTGACACTAGTTTTACTCCAAGACATTCGCCAATATAATTATGTAGGAACCCAGCTCAGAGGAGCAACACAAGACATCATAAGATCATTGTGAAGAATTTGCTTCCCTGAATTCTAGTATCAAACTTTAAAGATCTGATCCCTCTCTTTTACTTTTTCTTCTTTCTTTTTCCTTTTTGGGAATCAAGTAGTCAATTCTATTATATCAGACACCACATGTTAGTTTAGGGAAATAGAAAGAGGCAACATAATATATAAAAAATTGACATCGAACAATCTACTAAAGAGAAGCAGCGCGTGTACAGACCAGAAGACAACTGCAAGAACTGACAGATATATTTACATGTTCTGTGATGATTTGAGAAAAGAAAAAATAGAAGCAAATGCAGACCAAAGAATAAGTATAAGTGCCAACCTGCTGTATGAAATCAATATAGTGCAGAGCACCATGCTTAAACTGGGTTCCCCCACCAGGAAAGGTAAGGTATTCACCACTAACTTTTACCCAATTTTGATGTCCTTTGACTTCAGCAAGCTTTGTATGGGGAACATTGTGGTACCATATCTGCAGGAAGAAATACTTTAAGCTTCAAGAACAAGTAAAATAAGAGCCCGTTTGGAATTTGGATTGGCTTATTTTAAGTGCTTTTAAGCCAAAATAGCTTTTAAGTCATTTTATAGTGTTTGGATAAAGTAAAAAAAAAAGTGCTTTTACGCACTTGTTTTTAAGCTAAAATGACAAAAACAAGCCAAAAGCCAAAAGCTAAAATTCCTAACTTATGGCTTAAAAGCTGTTTTGGCTTAAAAGTCACTTAAAATAAGCCCATCCAAACGGGCTCTAAATACAATCAAATTCAAACGGCATTGTAGAAATAATGTATCACCTTTTCCCTACTTGTGGGCCACTCAACTGAACGTTGATATCCTTCAGGAAGTGGAACAAGACAAGTAGGAGGATTATCCGGACAGTGTCTCTCTCGATGTTCATAATGTTTTGTACTTCTGAGGTTCCTAATTGCTTCTAAATTATCGAGGCAAGGGATATAATCTGGCCCAGCAGTGGAATTGCAGACTTTCCAAGTGTAACTGCTTTCTTTATCTGATTCCAGAGACTTCTGTGTTTCCTTTTCATTCTTTGACTCTGATGCCTGAGTTGAAAATGCTCCATTTTGAGTTGTAGTTTCATTCAAAAGGTCTGACTGAGCGCCTGAAGGAAATACCTCATTGGACAACTGGTCCTTCTTCTGACCATCAGCCTTCTCATCGGAACCTTGGTCTACCTCCTGATCCTTTTTCTCATTCAGTTCACCTGGATTTTCTACTGATTTTTTCTCATCAGAACCCTCTTCGGTCTCCTCTCCAACAGACTTAGTTTCATTTTTCTCCCCAGCTTCAGAATCCTTATCCTCTATCTTTTTGTCATCTGAATTGTCTGTCCCACTCTCAGATTGAGTTTCCGACTTAGAGTCTCCAGTGTCCTCATTCTGTTCTGTAGATTTTTCTTCCTGCTTGACCTCTGTTGTTGATTCTGTCTGTTGTGAATTAGAATTATTTTCTTCTTGACTAACTGAGGCATCCCCTTTTGTTGCATCCTCAGGTAAATCACCTGGGTTATCCTCAAATTGTTTTGATTTTCCCTCATCAGTTGGATTACTCTCATCACCATTAGAACTCTCTTTACTTTCGGTAACTTGTGTTGTCGCATCACTAGTTTTCCCCTGTGAGGACACATCTGAATTTTGGACTGGAACAACAGATGATGATGTCATCATCCATACCCCAACTAAACATAGAGCTACAAATACCACTATAGTCACAGTCGAGCAATAACTCGAGGACTTCCTACCATCAACTCTAGAGTACTTTCCTAATGCCATTGTTTTTGCCGATCAATTCTATCAGTCCTTCAAATTCCTCTATTCACCTGTGATGCAAAATAAAATTAATAAGAATAAAATCTTTGAATCACTCTCGTGAAATTCTGGCAACTTATCACCTAAAGAAAACCAATTGTCATACCAACCTATGACACCACTTAAAACACTAGAGATTGGATATTGCTACTAAAATCATAAATCAAATCTATGACCTTATATTGTATTAAATAATTACTATACAAGACATACACATCAAACTCTAAACCGTCATTAATTATCTCTTGTTTTCATTCAGAGTATTAGAAGGATTGACATCATTAATAGAACTTAAAGGAAACAATAATGCAACAAAAGAATTACTCCGTCTATCCCAATTTGGATGATGCACTTTCGTTTTTAGTATGTCCCAAAAAGAATAGCAATATCTTTCCATGTTTATAAACAATTTAACTTTATTGACAAGATTTATAACCACACAAATACGTATAGCTCGTTTTAGACCACAAATTTCAAAAGTCTTTCTTCTCTCTTAAACTTCAGTCCAGTCAAACAACATCACATAAAATGGGACGGAGACAGAGTACTTGTTTAATTCTTGATGTGAAGGAAAAGTTGAGGGATCTAAGATGCAACTGCTGTTATGACAAACTACTACCTATATCCAAACAAAGGGAAACCTATGGCCAAAACAAGACACAACATAAAAGAGTATATACATAATTATGAAGGAACAACTCATACTAAAAATAGTAAAGTGATGGAGTAATAAAGACCCATGAAGATGCAAAGCAACAGTCTTTAACAGTAAAAGTGATTCAAATCATTCAGATCTTCATCAAATATCAAAAAGGACAAACCAAATTCTAGAACCCATTTCAAGAAACCCAGCAGAACTACAAATAGAAACTACTCCATCTCAAAGAATTGCAGAACTAACCGACAAAGATATAAAAAGAGTCAGATCTGCCAAAGATACATTAAATGACCAGTTGATATCTCAAAATAAGAAGAAACTGAAAATGTACATACATAAATAGAGATCAATACAGCAAAAATAATCAAGTATTGGATCTAAGTATACCACCCAAAAAAACTGAAGTACCCAATTACCTTTTAGTAGCTCTAAAAACAGATCTGAGATAGAGGAAGCTGTTAGGAGTGAATCATTATTTTGGGGTTCTGGGTATGTGAAGTGAGGGATAATGGGCATGAATAAATAGGAGTGAAGAAGAAGAAGACGACGAGAGGAGTAGTGGTATAGCAGTAAAGGGAGATTCTTGGATGTTCCCCCGACTTAATATTTTATTACTATTTTATTATTTTAATGCTGTGATGATAAATTTTTCGTGGACTTTTTATGGGTTTGCTTAAGAAAATTAAAGTTAAAAAGGAGGGTTTTACATTCAAATATCAATAGTGAAAAAGGAGATGACTTTACTTAGGAGAGGGAGGTAGCCACATGAACAAGAAAGCCGTGACAATCTGCGCGGCACACAAGAAGACAAGATCCGTAGCTGGCGCTGATTGAGGTGCATCTAGTCGGTAAGGGATATATCAGAGTACGGTTATTAGAACCCATCTAAGAATTTCGTGAAAACTAGCTACTTTTCGGACACTTAATTAAAAAATAGTCGGTATTTGTAACGGAAAGTTCCACCATAATATACTGGAGATTGGAGCAACTTCCAACATATTATGCTGGAAATTCAGTATGTTTCCGGATTTCGAACAGTATTTTCGTTCAGATTTATCTTTACATGAAAAGTAACAAAATTTCGATTACTTTGAAATTGTGGCTATTTTTCAATTACCACTTATAAACAACGCGCTTGGATAGCTTGTAAGTTGGTCATAAAATTTGAGAAAGGAGCAAAGGCGAGATAGAATTTGAAACTTATGATTTCAAGATTTTAGTTCTTTTGCGTAATAAATTAATATTTATATCTATGTAATTAAAACAAATATAAAGTAAAAACATAAGTTATTAGGCTCGATTGAAACCCTTGATATTAACACCGGCTCCGCCCCAGGAAAGGAGATATATGAGTGAGAACACACGTTGTTGTAAGGCAAAATAGGATTCTAATCATACTGCTGAACAATATGTAAAATGACATGTTATTTTACATATGAGTGAGAACACACGTTGTTGTAAGGCAAAATAGGATTCTAATCACAGTACTGAACAATATGTAAAATGACATGTTATTGAGCTGGCTAGTTTTTACCATGTTATTTAAAAGTTTAATAAATTTTTAAATCGTGTATAAATTATAAATGTTATGTTTGTTTGACCAAAAAGTGTTAACCTCTTTGTTAAATTAATTAATGATAAAATAGAGGATAAATCTTAGCCAAGGATAATTAACTCTAGATCTAAATGTTTTGAACAGGAGAATGAGATATAATCAGACTTGTAGCTCAATTTAAGATCATTAAAAGACATCAAGTATAAACAATAAGCTTACATCTTTGGCATATCGTTCCATAATGTAAGAGCAAAGAGGAAAAAGAAGGAATGCCATTGATAACTATGAGATCTATCTTTATTGATTTGGCAATGATGATTACAGAGATTTGTATTTGCTATCTAAGCTTTTTCTTGGTCTTTTGTTCTTCTCCTTTCTCCAGGAGAAGAAGCCCCCCTTTTCTTGTCTTCTTACCTCCTGTATATATTATCAGTATTCCCTTTTGTCCATCGGTCCTTAACCAGAATGCCTTCATCCCCTGACTGCCCTTCACGTCGCCTTCCTCAAATATCACGATATTTACTTCACCATACAGGCTTTTTGGTGGCTCGATCTCGGCAGTGGTCGAGGTCTTCGTTGTCATTACACCATGTGGGTATGACCACGGCTTAGTTGACCTCTTACTATTCCTGTTAGCGCTAATCCGCGTGCGGTCAGATTTTGACCCATACAATTAGTCCCTCCGCCTGTTGGGGTCGCCTCTTGGCGAGCTCGATGGGCGGACCCTGTTGATTTAAAAGCTAGGAGAAATCTGAATGCTTTATGCGAGGGGCGAGAACCTCATGGCAAGGTAGCAACGTGACGCTTCGAGGACCGTGTCGGACCGTTATGTCAGTTCTAAATTGGATCGTCACGTCAGTTCAGGGTGTCATCAATATTCTCCATGTGTCAGTATGGCGCACGTTTTCTAGGTACCGTGTCGTTTCCCGTGCCCTTTCCGTTTTCTAACTGGCGGCTCTTGGTTTTCCCGCTCAGGACATTTATATCCCTACAAATAAGGGGGGAGCTCCTCATTTGAATGTTACGTGTTTCAATTGTTTAAGAGAGCATTTCACAAGTCTTCTCCTCTTTCCTTAATCTCTCATATCTCTGCTTCCGCTAGGATTTGCGGTGACCATTGCCTTTTTCATTTATCATATTCGCTTCTTTCGTTCAACGAAAACAAATGGCTAGTACTTCTTCCCACTCTGATAAAGCTATAGGTGCTCCGGTGCCGGAGAATGACGCACTCCTACTCGAAGAGGGAGTGGAAGTGGTGGAAGATGAGGGGTTTCCAACGGTGGATGAGGTGGTTCCCCGCCCAGGGAAGGCGAGGACCAATTTTAACAGCCCTGCCGGAGATGAACCGAAGCTCGTTCCTTACACGATGGATGCTACGACGATCATGGCGTTCAAAGCCAAATGGGGGATCCCCAATCATATTGAAATAGTATCGGCGGATAAGGATATAGTGCATTTACATCGCTCGGGCTACTGCGCGTTTTACGTATATCCTTTTATCGTCGGGTACACGCTTCCCCTTCCTTCCTTAGTGGTTGATTTCTGCCTTTTTTACGAGGTATGCCCGGCTCAACTCTCTCCGTATGCATATAAGATTTTCCTCATGTTTATCAAGTACACCGAGTTGGCCGGCCGAGGAATTTCTCTGGGGCACATGCTCCACCTCTTCGCCCCCCCCCCCCTATTTTCTTCGAGGTACGATGATTCATATGCGTCATTGAGGAACCAAGAGCTTGGTGGTGAAGATGGATGACAAGACCAACCGCCGCTTCTGGGGAAACTACTTTTATGTCCGAACAAAGCATGTCGTATCAAACCCGGCGGGGTTTCCTGAGACGTGGAATTTCGCTCGTAAGTTCTCCTTCCCGTCTACTTTGTTCAATTTTTCTTAAGATGGTCGTCGGTCGTCTCCATTTAACGACTTCGCTGAGGATTTGCTTTTGTTTTTGCAGCCGAGAGACTACCTCATCCACTAGTTGCCGATATTCGCGAGTGGGTGAGCGCAATTCTTCCTCACACAGTGGGGATTCGTGAGTGGGCGTCTTTCCATGAGAAGTTTCGGCGCAAGTCGCTTACTGGTGAGTTTTGTTCTCTTCTTCACAGTTTTTTGCTTTACTTTGTCGTTATTTAATCAAATCCCTTCTTACTGACAGGTCGAAGAGGAGTGAGAAGGACGAGGGCTCATTCGTTCGCGTACTGTCAATCGGTGCCATCTGCCCGGCCCGCACCAAGAGCTTCTGCAGGCGAGGGCGTAGAAAGTTCGACCGCTTATCGGACCGCACCCGCGGCCAAAGCCGTACGCTTGGAGGTTACTCCTCAACCGGAGACTCCAGTTCCCGCAGTCCGTTCAACGGGTGAATCTTCCCATGTCGGTAGTGGAGAGGCCCTATCGAAGAGGCGAAGGGTAGTGTTGGAAGGGGCTTCTTTAGCCGAAACACCCTCGAGGGGCGACCCCGAGACGGTGGTGGTGCCAGTCTGGACGCGGAGCCGATGTTTGTTGTGATCGTTCAAGAGGCTATTGCAACAGAGAGACGGAGTTCTGAGGTTGTTGTTGTTGTTCGAGCAGGCCATCGTCATCTCGGCTGAGCCGCACCCCTTCTTCGGCCAATAATAAGTGGAAAGGTGTCATGGTTGAGGATTATGAATCCGAATCCGACATCGATCCTGAAGACAAGAGGATGTTCGAGGAGGGTTTTACCCGAAATGTGGTAAGGGCGGAAGGCCCTTCCCATATACTCAAAATTCCGTCGGATCTCAACCTATTGCAAGACACGGTGGATTTGGTGCAACAGTTTGATCTCTTATGCTCGGCCGCTGAAAGCAAATCCCTTAAGGAGGTCAGCGATTCTGGGCTATCACGCGGTGTGGCCGCGATGGCGTTAAGGGTGAGTGCCCCTTTGGTCTTTTTTAATTTGTTTACCTTTGTCATTACACTGACTCATTCTCTCCTCTTTTCCTTTTCTTTTTATAGACTTACATGCTGGAGATCGAGAGTGCTCGTAGGGCCGAGATGCGGGCCGAGATTTTTCTAAAAATGGTCGGGAAGTATTGGCGGTATCGCAATAGGTACCGTGAGATGCACGAGCAGCTCAAAGCGGACGCTAGCACCCAGTCCATTAGGGAGGAGTTGGAGAAAAGAGATGAGGAGCTGATGCGGTCCATCCGCAGATGTAGTGAGCTTGAGGGACTGCTCCATGAAGGACGAAGAGCTCGAGGTAGGCAAAGGGGTTGCCGCGGAGTGCGAGGGCTTCAAGCGAAGGTTCTATCGTTACGAGCTGAACTTGAGCAAAACGCTACTAGGGTTGATGCCCTGAGTGTAGAATGGTCAGAGAAGGTGGCCGAGCTATAATGGAAAGTGGCCGAAATGGAGAGAGCTGAGGGTGCTCGACTGTTGGATTTAGCGAGGGCGGCGGTGCTAGAAGACACTATCCTCGTCCTCAAGTCCGAGAAGGAATCTGATAGGGCAACGACCACGCTGAGGGAGGCACGGCTCGAGGAGAGAATTGGTGAACTTGATCGGGATGCTTCGATCTTGGGAGATCGAGTCGCGACTTTTGAGGCCGAGAAGGCGCAATTGTTGGCTCAGACTGAATCTGCCTCTACCGCTGTCCCCCGCCACTTGTATGTATGGGTCTATGTCGAGGTACAACGAGATATATACAAGGGTTTCTGGGAGACGGGTAGTGTTCCTGAGGCCGCCTTTGAAGATGCTTGGGCGAAGGCACGCGAGGCTCGTATTTCCTGCCATTACGACCCTACAACACCCGAGGCTGGTGAGGGCGTTAAGGTTGAGGCGGGACTTTCCAATGATGAGGATGCTGGAGAGAACGGCGGTGGAGATGACGCCGAGTGAAACTTTGTCGCAGCTTTGTACTTAATTTTTTTTTGTGTTTGTTGTTTATTTTTACATTTTTCTTGAGGGCCCGTTACAGCCTTTTGTAAGGCGTGGCTGTTGCGCGCATATATTTGAATAAAATAGTTGCTTTTCCTTTATTTGTGTATCTTTTGACTTTCTTTCTCCTCATCTCCCGTTTCTTTTGTTTCTTTTTTCTTTCTGG